GTAAAAGGGAATCAATTTCCTTTTTTTTCCTTTTCCTCTCTCTCTCTCTCTCTCCTCTCGTTTCTCGGGAGTACTTACTCAGCTCATCCGTAGCTGCTGCCATTTTGAAAAAGTCTATAAAGAGGAGAAAGCGAATGCGCTATCCGGACGGCGAGAGTCGCTGTCCGCAGAGCCGCGCGACGATTCGGCGACGCCGCGACGAGAACTCGACGTCGAGATCGTTAGACCTGCGTATCTCCTCTTCCTCCTTCTTATTTTTCTCCTCCTTCTCCGCCCCTACTTTTTTTTTTTTCCTTAACGTCGACGTGATCGCGCGTGTCGATCGTCGTGCAAGCACACGACGCGCCGCGTGTATCGCACACCCCCTCTTACCGCGACTTCGCCGTCGTTTTACGTGAGGGCGCTATGAATTTTGGAACGAAGATTAGCGAAGGTTAGGAAAGGAGCTGACGCGCCTCGCACGAGCGATACTTCGCGATGTCCTTCGCGATGCTCTCTCTCTCTCTCCTTTTTCTTTCTCTCTTTATAACAGTCGCGCCCGCCGAGTGACACGAAAACGACAATCGCGAATTTGTATTAAGATAAATCTGTGAACGCGCCGTGTGCGAGAAGAGACTCGTCGTCAGTCGTCACCAATTGGTAAATCAGCATGTTGGAAACGTGGGAGGTCGTTACGATGATTCTCGAAAACATCTCAATGAAACCTCCTGTCGAACGAACGCTTGTCGATCTCTCGCCGAGGCTGGAGTCTCGCGTAATCGGAGTTCGCTCGAGAATGAACGATGCTGCGCGCGGTTGCAAAACCGCTAGGTTGAGGTTAGAGTGTCAACCGATTACAGTTGCACTCGCGAGAGCGATAAGCAAGCGACATGCGCAATCGCCGCGCGGTGTGATTACGATATTTTCAAGGCGCGCGGTCGAAAGGGATAGAAAAAGTTCCGCGAGAGTTCAGGAAAACGACCTCCGACCTTCACTTGTAATAATGGAAACTCCCCAAGGACGAATGTATTCTTCTCTTTTTCTTCTTTTTTCGATAACCGCAGCATCGGAAGTCTGTAACACGCTTGTAATCACGCGTCGACTTTCATGTATTTTTTTTTTTATTTTACTATTTAACAAATTCGTGCAAACAGTCATTGTTTATATTTCTTATTATCATCATCATCACCGCGTCTTTGTGCGTTTCAAGGCAGAAAAACAAAAATACGACATTACTACTACGTTCGGAAGCACCACCCGAGTGATTCCCGAGTATTGTTTTATCCTTGTTGTTCATCGATTGTTAAACATTCGGGTGGTGTTTTCGAACGTAGTCTACTTGGTATATCTTCGATGAATTTAATTTCAAATTTTCCCGCCG